CCACTTGGGGAACCCCGCGTAGCCCTAGACCCCCGTGCCCGCCCCCCTGCAGCGCCATGGGGAGGGGAGCAGGTACTCACTGTCCAGGCAGGGCTCGCAGACGGTCTGGTTCACCCCGCAGGGCTGCACCACCCCTTCCCCCAGGTTGCAGGCTTTGCAGCACTCCCCACTCGCAGTGTACATCTTGGTGAAGCACTTCTCCTTGGAGCCCCAGGCAGGTCCCTGGCGGAGGAAACAGAGCCAAGAGGTGAGCCTTGGTGGAGAAGAGGGTCTCCTGCAGGCTTTGGGGTGGATATCTCATGTGAAGGCTAAAGGGAGCTCCCTTTGAATACAGAAATGACTTCCCCATGTGGAACTTGCCCATCAGGAAAGCTCCTGCTCAGCTCTGTAGCCAGGGGGAGGCCAGGAAAGCCCATGCCACCGTAGGTAGGTATTTTGGGGCGGGGATATGGGCTTTTCCGCATGGTTACAGCATTGTTCTTCTCTCCCACCTGGTCCTCTAAGGCTGCTTTGCCATCCGGAAGGGCTCAGCCCCTGCCAGCCTGGGGCAAGGCAGGACACTGCCTGCAGCCCCGCAGCAGGGAGACCTGCCTGCAGCAGGAGGGTTTGGGTGGTTCTTGCTGCGCATTTGGATCAGAACTCGGACCCCACGATGGAGACGGGGACTTCGAAGGGAGCACCGAGAGCTTCGACAGCGCTACTCTCTGATGGAAGTAAGTGTATCTGCTTACAAAACCTCTTGTAACATATGGAAGCAATAAATGCGCCACGAGCCGTGGGGTCAGAGCCACCCTGCAGATGCCCATTGCTTGCTTCCCAAAACACCTCTTGGCCAGGGCCGTGTGGGTGCACGAAGCATCTCTGCCTGGGTGCAGGGCGGCCGAGATGCTCGTGGGTGACCCAACCTCCTTTTGCACCCTCTACTCGCACTTAGGCGTGTTGCAGGCTTGGACCATCCCTTTGCCATCCAACTAAGCCTGATTTTCTTGGGGAGGGGGGAAGAACTCCGCGGGCGCTCGGGGGAGCTCCCCCTCCCCGTGCATCTGGATGCCTCGTCAGCCCTGCACAATGCGGCGTTATGAACTCGCTGCGCATCATCCGGCAGCATCCGGCCCGGCGGAGACAATGGAGCGCCAATTATAGGCATCTGAATGACAAAGTGCTCCAATTACCCTGCGCTAGAGAGCGTGTGCTCTCCTCCCTGGCGCTGCTTCCCCAGCCCAGCCTGGCAGCCAGCTCTGGCACCGGGCCCCAGCTTGGCAGACAAGGAGGGCTCGGTGTGGAGGGGGCTTCCCAGCACCCCCAAATGATGCTGGACAATGGGTTTGGGGTGGGGAAGGGAGTTGATTCGCAGCAGGTTGGATGCACCCCTCTCCTGGGGGACAGCAGAGCTGCTGGAGCTCATCCCGCTGCTCCAGCCCTGGCTCGCAGCGCTGCTCGGGCAGCGGTTTGACCCCC